CCCCAAAACCCCAAAACCCCAAAACCCCAAAACCCCAAAACCCCAAAACCCCAGAAATCTCGAATGGATTGATTGGCTTTAAATATATTATTATTAATATTCTCAGAATCTGGTTAGAGAGCTAAATTACTGACTTTCCTCATCTTTTGTGTCTTCAAGAGACATCTTCTCTAACTTCGAGGTGCTCAATTGGTATTCCTCCTTGAAATAGTTGTAATCTCGTGCCTCATTGATCAAATCAACAGCTTTCGAGAGGTTCTTGAGGGTTCGGTGGCACTCTTTTCTAGCCTCACCGATCATTGGGTCTTCACCCATGATGTCCTGAATTTCTTCTCCATCTCATAAACTTGTGTACAGGATTTGTTGGGAGTTCTCCTTGGCTTTATTGATCAAGAATGCCATAATTGTCTTTGGGACTAAATCAGCTATATGCTTCCTCACAATGTTGAAGTAGGATGAGAGGCAGTTCTTGATAATCTGAGTCTCCACAATCTCTCTCCCATTTGGTTGGTCGTCAACTCTCATTTTCTTAGGCGGCTTAATAAGTCCAACCTGAGGGATATGAGTGATCATGTTGTTGTCAGCCTCGTATCCTACCGAGTATTTGGATTCTTCTTTATTATTAGGTCTCTTGAGGTGGGAGTTAACCTTCCTGTCAGGCTGGACCTCATTGACATTATCTTGGTCCATAAGGTTATCGAAGAACTCTCTTCTAGTGTATCCTTCCTCAGGCTCTTGCTCTTCTTCAGAGTCTTCCTCAGAATCCTGGTCTGAGTCTCTATAGATATTATTGTTTTCTTCAATTTTCTCAAAAACATTATCTTCTGGAGGGGGATCATTGCCCTTCTTGAAGATGTTGAGAAGAGCGTCCTTTGCAACTATGAAATCTGGATGGTTGACATTTATATAGGCGTCTTCACAAGCGATCAGGTTTTTGATCATTTGCATTGTTGGTTGCAAGTACTCAAGCAAAAGGTTGTTCAGAACATCAATGATAGCAAAATGTAGTTTCTTGTATCTGTCCAATTCTGGTAAGCAGATTGAAGAGACTAAATCTCTTAGCTCTGCAAACACCTGTTCAGCACACTGGAGGGCTGGCTCCTGTAGTCTAGCGATCTGTTGTTTCATCAAGATGTGGAAGGCTTTCTCCTCCACAAAGAGACTTGGAGATAAGGCGGATGCATTCTTTACGCATGTACGAATGTCGTCATCGCTGATAGTTTTAAGAGGATGAAGGCTATCCAGAGCATTGAATAAAGTGTTACTGAAGATGTAGTTGATCCTACTTCCTCCCAAAAGCAAGTCTGAACTTTGCTTCACGAAATCACCATCAATGTAATTGTTGAATGTGGTTGTATATTTGCTGATAATGTTTAGCATCACTGATTTTGCTCCTTTTGGACCTTCGAAGTCTAAATCTGCACCAAGTGCATCTAACTCCTGTCTCTTGTGAGTCATGATAGTGGTAATCTTGTCTCTAATCTGAGGTAGAGTCCTTTTAATGTGTCTGATCAACAAAGTATTCAACTTGGCAGATAGGGCTCTAATTCCCAAGTTATGAGATAATTTGTGGTAAACAGGATGGGTTTTAAAGAATTTTTCTTCTTCTTTGATAGACTCTGAAATTGATTTTCCATCATTAATGCCTTTCTGAGATCTGCATACTACTCCAATGTAGCCTAGTTTGAGGGGATAAATTTCTCCTTGAAGTAGCTCAAGAGCATCTGTACCTTCATCCATTAAGTCAACCTTGGTGATGATACCAAAGGTTCTTTCCCCCTTTGGATCCACCTTCCTAGCCATCTTTAAAGAATCTGAGTTTGCTAGATCAGCATTGGCTGGAGAGACTGCCAAAATGATAGTATTTTCTCTTGAAATGAAATCAAAGACCAAGTTATTGATCTGTTTTTCAATATCTTTGGGCTGATCACCAACAGGGTTCTTTGTAATTCCAGGAAGGTCAACTAGGGTCAAATTTATCACATTGTTTGAGTAAATCTTTAGAAAAATGGGATCAGTGCTCACTCCTTTGTTGTCCCCACACACTCTGGATGTCTCTCTTAAGATTTCTTCCTTAATGTCAGTAAAGCTGGTAAATTCCTTCTCCAGATGACCGAAGAAGGCATACTCCTTAGGTGTAGCAATGTTATAAAGCTGCAGGACCAGAGGTCTTCGAGTCACGATTCCAGTTCCTCTAGGCAAGAAATCTTTGCCTACGATACTCTCTAGTACTGAAGACTTGCCACAGGACTGAGAGCCTACTACCACTAGTTGTGGGAGTTCAATCTCATACCGCCCTGAAGTAGTAGCCAGGGCTTCTTGAATTTTATTGATAAGTGGAATAATTCCTTGCATTACCCTGATACTTATTTATTTAATATATATTAATGGTTGGGAATCCGTCTATTTTCCCTTCTTAAATGGGGTTTTGGGGTTTTGGGGTTTTGGGGTTTTGGGGTTTTGGGG